GTTCCATGATACGAAGTTAGGAAAAGTCAGCAAGATGGTAGGTAGAGGAAGTTGGGGGAGGGGGAGTCCAGCATAGGAGGAAGTTGGGAAGGGATTTAGGTGTCGTATTCTGCGAAAATTCTACCCCAGCGACATGTTGTGCCCTGTCTGGGATGGCATCAGCGTACACCTTGAGCGAAACCCATCAGGACGGGTCGTAATTGGGTCGCTGAGAGCGGACGATCGTATTTCGCATGAGGTGAATTTTTTCGAATCTTTCCGTTTTGGCCGCGCTATATATGGCCAGCCCTCCCAGTCCGCAGAAAAAATTGTGAATATTAGGTAACAGAACAGGCAATAAAGAGAAGGATTTTCTGATACCGCCGATTCACCTATTCCGATGGCATGTATTGTCTTGAAAGGGCCAATGTTTCGAGTTAAACGCATCCTTTTACATACTGCTCAAAAAATATCCCGGCTCAAACAGTGAAATCGAAAAGAGTCGCGACCCTGGCATGATGCGATCGAGTGTTTGGCATATTATGAAACAAGTAAGCAGAAAATTAGAGCTAGGAAGAATAAAACCAAAAAAAAACAAATGCGGAAAGAAAAAGAATCTTTCTGTATATAAACTAGCGAGATAAAATGTTATCCAAAATACTAGTCTATCAATACTTCTCGTGGATTCAAAACCCACGTATGACTGTCCTCCACAACAGTGTCAACTAGTTTATGAGGCGAACTAACGACAAACATAACAAAATTTCCGGAAAACACTCAGGAAGTCAAGCATCCTTCATAACAAAACAATACAACGCAGAAAAACGCAGGGAGTGTACAAAAATAGTACAAAAAAACTGGGACATTCACCCCAGCATCAGCATATGCACAGTTTTTCACTACTTCTCCAATGGATGGTAATTCAGAAGCTTCTCTATCAAGTCGACATGAGACAACAACATTCGACGACAGCAGTATCGGCGCAAATTCAAGGCATCAAGTGCGTCACCTGGAATTCTCATACTTAACACCAGCCAATCGAATAGAGTTAAGAACAACTAAAGCTACAACTTTGATTACAAAACGAAATGTTCGCGCTCCGAAATCATCATGGGTAGCGCTTTCGTCCGGTAAGCGCAAAGGGCGGGTTCGAGTTCAGCGTGGGGTCAGTCAAGACATTCAGCATCCTTTGACACGGTAAGATTCTAGGGGAGCTCAATGGCCCCTAATAACACGACTAATATAGGGGAGCTAGCTAAACTTGAATAGTCCCTGTAGGAAAATGAGAATATGACAATGTCCAAGGATTCCACCGAAAATATTGTTTAACATGAACTAGCAAAAATAACCACTGAAAGGGCAAAATGCTCCTCCCAAAGTTCGAAAAAAACACTGAAAATTGTAAATGAAAAAGTTAATACCTTCAGTGTATTCCGCTTGTAAGAGACCAAGATAAGCCTCCCATTTGTTGCCAATCACTTTTCCACATGTGAAGCAGCGAATTGGGATAATCATAGGCTGCACGTGCACTTCTGGAAAATGCTGCATGCGTAGAAGATAAATAAATAAACACTCGGACAACGGACGCAGGTAGTCGAGTGACCCGAACTCCGAGAATTCGACTAAATACACACTAAAGATAAGCTTTATTCCAAAAACGCGCGGCCGCGCCACGCGGCGCCACAGACAAAGACCCATATAAGGCTGGATCGACAGCACAACTATGTCTATCCGCCTATACTTCAGTTTAACACAAGGGCAAGAGACAGAGTGATCAAGCTGAAAATCGTATGGCCTGGGTACAATTCGAGGCTCGAAACCGAACGCAGACTAAAGTGACGACTTGAGGAAATGATCCTTCAATAGGACCCAGATTGTACTGAGTGAAACCATTCATAACCGTAATGACAGTGCTACAATTGCACAGTCAACCGAAACGTATTGACCAGCCAATATGTAAACAACGCGAAAACTGAATGCGCACACGCCACAAACGCACGAGCCTAGCGAAAGGCAACGAATATTCCGAATGAAAGCTATCACATCAAGATGGAAAGAAAACCAGGTGCTATTGTGGCCCAGGAGGGAGGGGGCACTTGGTGGCGCGGCCAAGTCTATCTTCTTTGCTGCCTAAGATGAAATCGAAAGCGAATTCTGGTCGCCTGCCCTCTTCTAAGGCCGACTCTAGAGAAGAGGAGGTCGCTACGGGACTATTCCAACCACAGTGGTCGGAAACCAGTGACAAGTATAAGATACAACCTTTAGGAACAATACGAAGCATTAAGAATGTAACAAAATCGAGCAAACCCCAATGAATTTTCTCGTGAAACAGCATACCACCCCTGATCAACTAGGAGAGAAGGAAACGAAATGAAGAGAACATTCAATTTAGTACCAAATGAGGCCGAAAAGAAGATGGAAAAGACTTTACGAGCTGACGGAAAGGCAGTGTGAAGAAAATTTGCTGCTGCTCGACTTGGAAGACGCTTTTTGCACTAACACAAGCTCATTTTGCTATTTCATGTTGATTGACAGGTTTTACTTTGGTCAGACCTGTAAAATCCCGTGAAGATACGAGAGATTCATGCATGGGAGTGAGCCCATCAGTCACAGGAATTTACTGGTCTTTACAGGGTGACCTTACGAACTCAGCTGAGCATCATTCGGTGCCCCTCCAAGCCGAACTGCGATGAAAAATTTCCGTTCGTATCTATCACAGAGCGCCATCGCTCACAGAGCACAGGAATTATGTCAGAAACTTAGCTCGTTCTGTTAGTATTGTTCTGCTCTTCGAGGTTCGCAACTGGCTGCACGCAGTGGGAACAATGGCTGAGGGTGGGCGGTTGCTGCCGCGGTTACTGGTGGAAGGGCTGTAAGAGGTCGTTTGGCCACACTACTAGGCCGTTCAACCGATGATGTTGGCGACAAACGCCTGCTCCAGCCAGCATGCCCTCTGCCTTGGAGCGGCGCATTTCACGCTTCTCCTTTGAAACGCTGGCTCTGAGGAAGAGCCGAAACGCTGC